TAAAGAAATTCCAGATATTTGTAATTAATATTTCCAAATAGTAGTGATGCTGCAATTATTCAAAAACAAAGCAGATGTAATTTTTCCAAACTAAGTATAAATTAATTAAAATAATTTTTTTCCTTGTTATTTTTTCCCACATTGCCTCCTCAGACTGCTAAAACTTTCTTTGCATTCACATCTGCTTCACCGTTGGAGTCAGTTCATTTTCCTTGCTTTTCAACTCGCATGGTAATTTACACACAGTCCCTACCCCACTGATGCAAGTCACTTCCTCCCTCTCTCTCCCTCCCTCTCTCTCTTTTCTCTCCCTTTGCTCTCTTTCTCCACCCAGCTGTAGATCAGGATACATGAATGCTGGGGAAAGAGGACAGTGGCAGAAAGAAGAGAGAGGGAGGAAAGGGTGAGGGAAAGAGAGAGTGTGAAGAGGAGGAGGAAGAGGAGGAGGAGGCAAAAAAAAAAAGAGAAAAGAAAGGCAAGACATAGTAGGACAGAGTGTGCAGCATACTGTAGCATACTGCTGTGTTGTGATTATGGAGTGAGCATGGAGCAGCAGAACCAAAACAAGAGGAGAAGTGGATACAATGAGGACACATCTTGGCTTTGTGCCTGATCAATAAAAGGTAGATTAGTTCGGAATCTGAGCAGTAGAGAAGGATTCTCATGAAGCAGCATTGCTTTGCAGTGCTGACTGCCTGCCTCTGAGTTTGAATTCTGCATCCAAGGGATTCGAAAAGCATGAAGACAAAGTCACTCCAAACCTTGAGGACTCACGGGGACATAAAACAGAGAGCGGAAAACTAGCTCTGGACGTTCGGAGTCAAGAAAACGAGACGTCTTGCAGCAGGATCGTGCAAACACTCAGGTATGGCCGTTAAACAGAATTAGGCAGCAACAAACACCTCCTTTGTTTTTAGTCATTTTAAAAGTGTGTGGATTTGTTTTTCTAACTGCAAAGAGGGATTTAACGGTGTATTTTCAGAGCAGGACAGTTGTCACTTGTGATTAAGCAGTGACAACAGACATAGGTCACTTCAACGAGCTCAAGTGGCATTAGATGACACAACAACCGAAATAATAGTCCCTTCAGGTATGGATGACTAAATGTTCTTTTTGCAATTTAGATATCCCTGAATGGAGAGGAGGAGGGGGGAAGGAGTGAAGGGGAGCCTTGTCAGAATGTGTTTGGGTGAAATTTTTGTCATAAATCAACGCTTGCAAACGGGCACACACACGAACCCACTGGGCATTTTCACTGTTCAATAATAAAACGCCTGCCGGTATGCAAAATCCACACATTATTGCCGTGTTGTTGACGACTGAACTGTTGTTGCGTAAATCATTAAAATGACCTCCTGCCCACACGGGAAAACTGGCACATGTGAATTCATGGGTGGCATGGTGTCTCTCTCTCTCTCACACACATTAAAACTGCCCCCTTTTTTTGAAAGGGTGTTCCAGTTAAGTGCACACAAAGCTTAATGAAGTCTATACTGTAGTATCAGTGTATGCATTGTGGCCTCTTTCCAAGGTGAGCTGAATGTGGAGGACGGTAGTGTAAAAGCTGTCTGGAGGAGAAAGAGTTCACCACAGGAACCATGTTTTGAAATGTATCCCGCGAAATAAATTATTCCGAGTGCTGTCAGACGTCGGGAGCAGGGATCTGTGCCGTATGTTTGAAATGCTAATACAATATAGAACACTTGTTTTCACAGGAGCGGTCGCCTCCTCTTATCGGCGTTAACAGAGCGCCATTCCTATTTCTTATCCAGTCACTATGTCAGGGCGATTGGAAAGTGAGAGGACAATTCTTTCCATCTTATCTCAAATCTGCAATTGATTTTTTTTGACAACTCCGGTTATCCTTCATCCCCGCAGTGTCGAGGCAGCTCCCCGTCTCAGTTCCAGCTCTGTGCATTGTTTCAACTTAATCCTGCTTACTCATGGATTTCCTCCTTCGCAGCACCAAACTCTCAGACGCCTCTCACTGTAAACTTGTTCCCTCTCTTGCTTTTTTAGATGGATCTAATGGTGTGGAAACGCCGCCGCTGTCTCGAGTTATCAGAGTTTTGAGTCGCTCAGACGAAGGCATGGGGAGACGAGCAGCCGACCTGACGACTCCGGTTCCGGTTTTAGGAGTCCCTGCTTTGGTCGGGGTGCGCGGCTGGAAGACAACAGGAGGAGACAGAGCCGGGGGAAACCTGCTGCAGACGTGGGGACTTCACTGCAGCGTCGGCGTTCAGACGTCCCCGGGGATAAGCAGGCCACCCACCCAGCTAACTGATACACTCTCAGATAGCATCGCTCAAACATCCAACAGCTATATTGCCAAGGAAACGGAATACAAGGAGATACTGCTGCTAACAAAGAGTGACAAGGAGAAAAAGGCTATTTTAAAACAGAAAAGTGGGGAATCCAAGACCAAAAAAGAAGTGACTTTCAAAGCACTTGGAGGTGAAGTCTCTAAGGATGTGGCCTGCTGTCAGAGGAACAGTGCTGGGACGTATTGCTATGCCAGGGCAATCAAGACCAATCCACATATTGCAGGGAATGTAAGCAACGCCAGGCCTAAATCTGCTGCCCGTTACACCAACGGCAGCGTGGTGGATTCGGACGCCATCGGTGGAATTAGCGTAGTTGATGATGAAGCAGAGTCTGTAAAAAGTGCAACCTCTCGTGGAAGAGACCTCACCAGACTGCAAGGTCATTATGCAGATCAGTCTGGGAAGCCGTTATCTGCTGCCCGACCTTTCGGCGTGCCACAAAAAATATGCAACTACTGCGGTGGGAGACAGTCTGTAACCACCGGAGCTGCCATTCTGGGGGAGAAATGCCCTAATGCTGACGCTTGTCTTCGAGAGAAACAGTTAAAGTCAGCCCTCACCTCGGTGTCGGCTACTGCGCAGACGCCTCATCTTGAAAGGAACCTTAATCCAAGCCAGCAAAACTCTGACGGCATCACAAACTCGGACAAAAGGACACAAATGACAGTCAATCCACAAATATTATATCTTAAGGAAGAACTGCGGTATAGAAATACACCACACCCTGCATGCCCGGTCCACTCCAGAGGTAATCCGGCGAATTTGTTGCACACGCACGACACCATCCTGCATTCTAAAACCATCACAATCACGAGAGCGACTATTGAAACCAGACAGGATGAGTCCAGTGGGAAATGTTTAGCGAAACCCCCACAAAACAGCACGAGCCCCCGACCGACGAGCCTCACTTTCACTCCTCAGATGGCCACCGCTACCAAATCCAACGAGCCGCATTCACACACCTACCCTAAGACCCTCAAAACCACACAAAGCAACTCTACGCAGCATAACGTGCCTCAAAATGTGTGCGTATCTGTGCACGCTACACCTAAGAATACTCTGTCGCCACCTTCTCATTTGTACACCACAGCTGGAGGTTCTGGGAGTACATCCAGTACCAGTGCACATAAAGCAACCTCGAATTCTGCAGCGACGTCCGCTGAAAATATAGCCGCTAAGGTCGACGCTCAACAGGAAACCCACACAGCACAAGGAAACATCGCGACAAATACAACTAATAGCCCACAAATGGCCTCAAAACATCCCACATTATCAGAGTCATTTGAAGCTTTTCGAAAATCAGAATCCTCTGCGCACGTTACACCTGCGAGTCAACTGTTTGCTTCCTCGGATTTTCATGAACCACAGAAAAAGCCAAACGCTGACGGCACACCATCGGGTAAAAATCCTTTTACTGACAGCGGAGTAAACTCAACCGCTTTTGCTAATAAAACTACGGCACGTCCCCTCCACAGCGCCGTTGTCCAGCAGAGCACTTTGAATCATAAAGCTAACTCGGATCAAATTGCGAATGCGAGTTATAAATCAGTGGCGGCACAAATTCACCTCCTCTTTCAGCCTAACTCCTCTAATTCTGAGCCAACACTTCACCTGTCTGCATCTTCTCTACACACCACATCGAAGCCTCTAGACTCGAGAACTCAGTTATCTACGAGTACAACTCCCAGCTCCACAATCACATCTAATGGCACTCTGTACAAAAACACAGCCCTCAGGAACACCACATTCAATTTGAAAAAATCTGCCTCCACAGCCGGCTCACTGCCGTCTGCGCCGACAGAAAAACAAAATAACGTCTCTGTATCAAGTGCAACTTTGCTTCAATCAGCAGACACAACCCAAGTACTTAGCTGTAATGAAGCCCCCGACAGAAGCAGACCTCATCACACACAAGCAGCAAACATCAGAACTCCCAACAACAATGAACCTAGTGTCTGCGGGGTTGTTCCTAATCAGAGAAACAACTCCAGAACACCTCAGCTCGCATTATCTCAACCGCAAAACGCGTTGGAAAATCATAACCGAGGCAACGATGGTAGCTCCCGCGATCCTAAATCAACCGTTAACCCAAATGAGGAGTTTTATTGCGATAATGGCAAATTCAATGGTAATCTAATCGATGAATTAGTTGTGCATGAGTCAAAAGACCGTGAAAATTCTAATCTATCACAGGTCAATAACCTTCAGAATTATATTTCCCTAATTAAGTCAAGCAGCTCTTGTCTGCAGGGTTGCATAAACACAGAACAACAAAGGCTTGCACATTATCAAGGATGCACAGAAACAGAACACCAGGGACAATGTGCAACATGCCCACCAGTCAAAACAGCCCAGCAGACGGATTCAAATACACAACAGTTTGCCTCAGGTGCATCAGCCAGGCATGCTAATGTTAAGCCTAAATGCAACGCAGATAAACAGACACATCCCAATTATTCAACATCCTCCGTCACGGCGCAAAAAAGCCGTGAACTCGTGACCTCACGTGTCGACCTCCTCGACAAATCTTCGGCCCACCAGAAGTCTGATTTTGATATATCGCCACAGCCACGGGCGCACACGAGTTCTTTCTCTGCACGAGCCCCGTTCAGCAGCGAGGGAGAGCTCCGTGCACACGCGGGCCCTGAATGTAACTCCATATTGTCGTCATCAACAATGCGCTTGGCATCCCATCCCCGCCCCCAGCCCGGCGAGGCGGAGGCAATCGCGAGGCCGGATACAAAGTTTAGCCCCGCTCCCCCTCAGCCGGGCCCAGAGGACACGGGCCTGGCTCACTCCCACCCAGCTGATGCAGCCCTGTTGCTGCCGCCTTCCCCACAGTGCAGCAAATCAGCAGCCCTACAGCAGAGGCTCGAGACAGTGGAGGCCAGCCTGGCAGCCAACAAGGACAGGATCACTACTCTGCTTAACATTATCCATGACCTGGAGTCATGCCACACTCCCACCAGCGGGTAAGAGGATGTGTGTGTGTGTGTGTGTGTGTAAGGGTGGTGATGCTGAAGAGTTTATTTATTTACTTGCAAATAAAACAACATAGAATCTACAGTTTTTGTTTTACTTGTGTATAGATTTGCAGCAGAATGATCAAATTAAGCACATTAAACATTTAACTGGTAGTTTAAACATTTTGGAATACTAAATATTAATCCTGCAGGGTCACATATGACTTGTAAATTATGAATGCATTCAGTGCAATACAGGTACTGTACAGCTGCCAGAGTCTGGACTAGGGAATTACTTTAAAAGCAGTCCTGCACTGCTGATCTTTGGCTTTCCAGTGAGTCATCACTTGCATTTACTGGAACCACTCAGTGACTGAAAATCATTGGCAAACTGAACACACCTTCAGTCCAAAAAACTAGCTTTTGTTTAAGTCCATGTATGATTATTTAGCCGTAATTCTATGAGTTACTGTGTTGGAAATAACCCTGAATTTGGTTTTCTGTCATAATTTATTCATTTCCATTTGATGCAGAACAGATACAGCATGAATATCAGTTGGACTCTACACCTATTTAGTTGTAAAATAGCATGCAGACAAAATATCGTACAATATATATGCTGTATCATATAATAATTCAATATAAATGTAATTTGAAGAAGCAGTCAAAGTGTCACTCTGCTGACTTTCTGCTGACATTGAACTCGCATCAACTGGATCAACCAATTCAACAAGAGCTCAACAATTCACCACACACACGATGATGTAACATGTTGCACGAATCCATTATGTTGTTAAGACGCTATGAAGGTGGTTTTACGGCCGCTACAAATGTGCCATAAACCAGAGCCGACGACACGACGCTGCTACACGTTTACGCACAGGTCGGTGATTGTGTTCCTGCGAGTGTGACAGAAACCTACTTGGGCATTTCAAGGGGGCACGTCTCAGAGAGGTTTATTTAGCCGTACAACTCTTCTGGGACAAATAGCAGGAATTAAAACGGCCTCCTGGCAATATGTCTCTGTCAATCATTCTCATTCACTGTGGTGCGCTAATAAGCTGTGACTGCCTCTGAGGTCATGTTTCAGAATAACCAAGTCCTAATAACCGACTGATGTCCAACGTAATGCATGTTAGGTAGCTCATCACTGCCAACCGTAGTCTGAATGAATTTCAAGCGGGCGAGGACGAGCAGAAAGAATATTAAATTGTAAATCAGGGAGGGTTTTTTTGGGGAGTTATTCACAGCGTGTAATTTGCTTTTGCTCATTCTAGTCGGCGATGCTACATAACTGGACAGGACCTCAAAAACTGCTCAACCTGCCAGAAGACTGCTTGTATTGTCTACAGGTGAGATAAGAGTGACTGGTCAGTTTTCACTGCAGTGCAACGTTTGAGCAGCTCTGATGAACATCTACTGTGATTTGTTTTGTGGTATCCTCGATGTTGATCATAGGAAGCCTCTGATAGTGAGCGATTAGGAAGACGAATGAATATGCATGACTTCTACAAGTTTCAAAAGGACAATTTCAGCATATAGATTTTATTTACAGTGTCAGATGCGCAATCCAATCCGCGGGTCAGCCAATTTGCCGGCGCGAGTTGCCAGTTCTCCGCCAGCCTGCTCACTTCACTCCACTGAAAATTAATGACTTACTGTACGGGCAGCTTACCAAATGAAAAGCTCCGTACTGCTCGTTTGTTGCTTGCTCAGAATACACAGGAAGATTACATTTTCCTCTATGAGCGCGCCATAAATCTTGTGGGGCAAACTGTCGGATTTAAGCACTTACTGTATGTGGCGCAGTCTATTCATACGGTGGGATTTATATAGTGATGAAGACGGACTCTGAAATCCGAGCGGGAGAAAGAGGATCGAGTTGGACGCGAGCAGCCCGCGCGATTGATTTATAGTGATTTATGATGATCGCTGCTGAAGTCGCGGCGAGCGTTGTTAATTTGCGGGAAAAGCGATTTGGTGTCGTATGAAAAAACTATCACTATCAGTGGATGAGGTGAGCTGTAAGAGGTAGGCGGATTCATCTTGAGTAGCCTTATCTTAAACCGAGACATTCTTCATTCTGATATTTTCACATCCTGCAGCGATATTGAGGATGATCCCATTTTAAATACTCATTACAGACAGTAGCAATCAAAATATTTGATGCATCTGGCCCCACAAAATTGTCTGACTGAGAAGACCTTTTAATACATGTACCTTGAATATTTGTACTAAAGATGCAGCGCATCAAGACTAATCACCCAATATTGGTTAGTTCTCATATTCCATATTCGGTCCCGGTTTGCACCCACTCGCTGAAATGTTGCATCAGGTGGAAGCAATAGAAAAATAGCAAATCTCAACAAATGCCCCAGGAATATCGTATGTGGAAAGGAGGCTAAGTGAGGCTAAGAAGTCGAAAAAATCTTCTCATCATCTTTTTGGAAAAATGCCTCATGCTCTACAAAGCAAAAACCTAAAACTGCCTTTATCTTGAAATATTCAAAACATCCTCCTTGATCTACTTATGTTCAAAAACCGCTTTTGTATGACAAAAAGATGTTATATAAGTTGATTTGCTGACTGGTGTGTGTTGGCATCTGGTCCTGAAAGGCCAAGTGGAAGATAAGGATATTCAAACAGGACGTGTGTACCTTGAGAAGAAGAAGAAAAAAAAAGGATACCCTGCCGGGAAATGTCTTCCTGCCCAAACCAATCAGCCACTTTGAAATCTGACAAGCACAGAGCTTCCCACATAAGGGGTTCCACACAGAGCAAAGTGAACTGTAGCAACACAGTTTGCAGTGATTGGTGGCATAAAAAGCCTTTTGCATCGCAGGGAAAGAAAAAAAAAAAAAGAGCTGGAAATGCAGATGTGACACATTAAAGCGTTCATTTGCATCTTTGGCAAGAGCTGAATTTGCTACATTTTCTGCACTGGTTGAGTGGTTTTTAGTCATTTTGGGCTGCATGTATGTCTTGTCTGTGTGTCCGTCCAGTGTGGAGTACGACTTCAGGCAGCAGGAAAGACGCTTCTTGGAGGTTCTGAATCATTCGGCGGGCGGCAACCGCGACTTCTCCGTGCACCTGTCCCAGCCCTTGAACTTCGGCCTGCTCCGAAACGGCATCATTAGGAACTTGACAAAGACGAAGGTGAAAAGCAAAAAGCTGTGCAAGACCCTGTTCAAATGGATCCCGAGGAAAATTCAGCAGGTGTAGCCCTCCGTTGATCCCCGTGTGCTGTTTGATAGCCGTTAGCCTGTGTTACAAGTGACCAGCAGAAGCCTTTTTTGCAGGGGGATTCTTTACTCTTCCTTCCCATAGAATGAGAGATTCTGAATTAGGCGCTCACCCCACTAGAGTTCCACTCTCCTGCACACTGTCAAAGCTTATAAAGCAGGATTTTGTACCCCTAATTTGCCCCTGATCTGTGTGACCTTCATCTAGTATCATCCATAAGAGATTCTTTAACATTTTTGAAAGTTAATGCTATTTTGTTGTCAGTATGCCTGCGTACAATTTATGGCTAACCTCCACCATAGATTTCTATATCTAATTTTATATATGAGATTCTTTTCTCTTTGCACTGTTATGATTAATGCAGTTGGATTTACATTTCTCCTTCAGCTGTCCTTCTCCCGCCCCGCCACCCAAAGAATAAATGTTCTGTACACAAGTTTTGTTACACTTGATTTGTCTGTAAATCTCCTAATTTGTTCTTTAATTCTGATTGCAAAGTGTCATTTATGAATGAAATAAAGGTTTTATTCAGCTAAGACGTACGCCTTCAATGCATCTAAACCTTTTTTTTCCACAACTGCAAACTGGCCACGAGGGTGCAGAAAATACAGAAACATTCATTATGCTTTTGCCAATTGTGCTGATGGTCTCCAAATCCCCAAACAATCTGAACTTCATAAAAGGTCTCCGAGTAAAACAATGACATGACGAAAGGCTGCAATGAAGCATGAGTCACAGTGAAAACGTGCACGGCGCGCATGAGCACGCTCTTGGACACACACACACACACATATGTGGATATAAAGAGCGAAATATAGCAGCGTGGAACAAACCCTTGTGGGTGGTTTCACAGCGCTGCTCATAAATTATCAACGCAAAGGGGGGAACACGAGCTCCACGGTTTTGGTTAAAAGCTTACGGAGTGAGGAACACATACACAATTTATCTGAGCAGTAAGCCAAGCAAAAAGTGTGATATTAAATTTTTTTTTGAGCAGCTTTAATTAAAATTCCTGTAAGAGGAAGTAATACCTACTGAAAATGAAATTCTTGCAACAATGGTACAAGAGGGAAATATGTGCTCACAGCAGCTGTGAAAAGCCTTGTAGTCTCATGCAGGTAGCACAGTTCTGCCACATTTCACTACTGTAAAAGGACAGTACAGCGTTTTCCTACTACTACACGCCGCTTGATTGGCAATTTGATTCTATTTAGTTCACCGTGATGAACAGCTAGAGAGAAGGTTTTGTATTTTGGTTTTACATAATGACCCAAATTCTAGGAATTACAAAAACACTTCACGTGTCGCAAAGTTGGAGTCTGCGATTCTAATCCAGCGCACTTTTCGACGAATATCTCCTCACGGTCCTGCGATCCTACCATAGACTGTATAAAAGATGGACGTAG